TCAGGCAATTCTCCTGCCTCAACCTCCTGAGTAGCTGGGATTACAGGCACGCACCACCATGCCCAGCTAATTTTTTGTATTTTTAGTAGAGACAGGGTTTCACCATGTTGACCAGGATGGTCTTGACCTCTTGACCTCGTGATCCACCCGCCTCGGCCTCCCAAAGTGCTGGGATTACAGGCTTGAGCCACTGCGCCCGGCCATGATTTTGGTTTTTAAAAAATGTATTGATACTTGTTTTGTGACTTAACATATGGTCTATGTTGGAGAATGCTCCATGCACTAATCAGAAGAGTGTGTATTCTGCTGTTGGGTAGAATGTTCTATAAATGTCTGTTAGCTCCATTTGACCTAAAATCGAATTTAGGTCCAGTGTTTCTTTGTTGATTTTCCATCTCAATGTATCTAGTGCTGTTTGTGGGGTGTTAAGGTCCCCCACTGTTATTGTATTGCTGTGTATTTTTTTAGATATAATAATATTTGTTTTATGAATTTGGGTGCCCTGGTGTTCGGTGTGTATATATTTGGGATTGTTATATCTTATTTGTTTATTGATCCCTTTATCATTATATAATGACCGTCTTTGTCTTTTTTTTACTGCTGTTGATTTAAAGTCTTTTTTTAATCTGATAAAAAATAGCTACTCCTGCTCATTTCTGGTTTCTATTTGCATGGAATATCTTTTTCTACCTCTTTACCTTCAGTCTGTGTCTTCATCAATGAGTTGAGTTTCTTGTATGCAGCATATGGTTAGTTCATGTTTTGTCATCCATATTGCCAATCTCTATCTTTTAAGTAGAGCATTTAATCCATTTATGTTCAAGATATGCGAGGTTTTATTTCTGTCATAATGTTAATTATTATGTACTTGCTTTGTAGATATTTTTCTTTTCTTCTTTGAGTGTTTGTAATTTTGTGGAATTCTGTTATGTTGCCATTTGATCTTCTTCCTTTGTGTAATTATTTTATAAGGCCTGTGAGTTTTATACTTTTGTGTCTTTTTTTTTTTTTTAAGACAGGGTTTCACCATGTTGGTCAGGATGGTCTTGAACTCCCGACCTCAGGTGATCCGTCCACCTTGGCCTCTAAAGTGCTTGGATTACAGGCGTGAGCCACCATGCCCGGCCGACTTTTGTGTCTTTTATGATGGCAAGTATCAACCTTTTGTTTTCCTGGTTAGAACGTGAGCATTTCCTGTAGAGCTAGTCTAGTGGTGACAGACTTCCTCAGTGTTTTTATTTTGGGAAGGCTTATTTTTCCCTTCATTTATGGAGCTTATTCTACTAGATATAAAATTTGTGACTGACGGTTTTTGTTTTATTTTTTTAAGCAACTTGAAAATAGAATCTCAATCTCTTCTGGTTTGTAAGGTTTCTCCAAGTTCAATTGTCTGATAGGGCTCCCTTTATAGGTGACTAGACACTTTTCTCTTGCTAATTTTAGGATTGTATCCTTCGTATAGACCTTAGTCTGATGATTGTATGTTGTGATGAGTTCCATCTTGCAATATATTTTCCTGGAGTTTGTTAGATCTCTTTTATCTGGGTGTCTAAAGTTCTTGCTAGATTAAGGAAGTTTTCCTCAATTATTTCCTTAACTATGTTTCCAAACTTTTTACTTTTTCTTCTCCCTCAGATATACCTATGATTCAATTCATAGGTTTGGTCGCTTTATGTTATTTCATACTTCTTTAAAGCATTGTTTTTTCTTCTTTATTCTTTTTTCTTCACTTTCATCTGACTAGATTAATTCAAAAGACCCGTCTTCAAGTACTGAAATTCTTTCTTTTGCTTGTCTAGTCTATTGTAAAAGCTTTCAACTGTGTTTTGTAATTTCTTCAATGAATTTTTCATTTCCAGAAGTTTTTGTTTGGCTTTTTTAAAAAAATAGCTATCACTTTCTCTTTGGTAAATTTCTCATTCTATCCTGAATTGATTTTCTGATTTCTTTCTATTACTTTTCAAATTTCTTTTGTATCTCATTGAGCTTCCATAAAATCAGTATTTTAAATTATTTATGTGGCTTGTTTTTTCCTTTATGATCTGTATTTCTTTTATGTTGGTTTTTTCCTGTCTTACTGTACTGACTAGAACTTTCAATAATGTTGAATAAAAGTGGTGAGCTTAGATATACTTGCCTTGTTCCTGATTTTCTCAGGGAAACCTTTAGGTCTAATTTTGGAATATTAAATCAGCCTTGCAGTCTTGAGATAACCACTACTTTGTCTTGATTTATTATACTTTTTATACATTGTTAGATTTGATTCAGTAACATTTTTGTTAAGAATTTTGTAAATATGTTCATTAGAAACATTAGTCTGTAGTTGCCTTTTCTTGGAATGTCTTTATCTTATCTTGATGTCAGAATAATGCTGGCTTCCTAAAATGTGTTGAGAAGTATTCACTCCTTTTCATTTTCCTGGAGGAGTTTGTCTAGCATTGGTATTATTTATTCCTTAAATGTTTGGTAAAATTCGTGGATGAAGCCCTATAAGCCTGAAGTTTTGTTTGTGGAAATGTTTATAAGTATGAATTATATTTCTTTGGTAGTTAAAGGGCTGTTCAGATTATCCGTATGTTCTCAAGTAAAGTTAGTTTGTGTCTTTCAATAAATTTGTCCATTTCATCTGCATTGTTGCATTTATTGCCATAAAGTTTATAAGGTCCTTATTTTTTTTAAATAATATATGCAGGATCTATAGTGATGCCACCTCTGATTCCTGATACTTGTAATTTGTGTCTTCTTTCTGTTTATATCATGCATGCTAGAGTTTATTAATTTTATTCTTTTCAAAGAACTAGCTATTTATTTCTGTTTTCTATTTATGTTTACTTTGTATTTAATTTGTTCTTGTGCTTTTAGTTACTTTGACTCATTTCTGCTATATAAATTTCACTCTAAGTAGAAATTTTGATATGTTGGTTTTTTCATTCCATTTATAAAGTCTCTTGAATTATTTTTGATCCACAGTTTATTTAGAAGTATGTTCTTTATTTGAATATTTGAAGATTTTGCAGAGATGGTTCTGTTCATAATTTCTAATCAGTTGTGGTTAGACTATCCTTTGTATGACTTGACTTCTTTTGCATCTGTTAGAACTTGTTCTGTGGCCTAGAATATGGTTTGTCTTGGACTATGTTTTATGCGCAACTGAAAAGAACATTTTCTGCTCTTACTGGATAGAGTCCTATAAAGGCCAAGTAGTCAACTTGGTTGTTAATGTTGCTTCAAGCCTGTGTCTTATTACCTACTTGTTTTTGGTTGTGTTTGCTTCATTTTTAACAGCATTTGTTTGTTTGTTTTCTGGCTGCTGCTGCTGCAACTAAGACCCTTTTTTGTTTCTTCAGCTTTTGAGCATTCTGGAAAACCTGAATTCACAGAATCTTCTTGGTCAGAAGCCATGGTTAGTGGGCTGTTTGATAATTGAGAGGGGAAAGGTGACTTCAATCCCCAGTTCCCTGAATGTCTTCCCAGAGTCGTCATAATAGGTTTCATGGAGGTTTTTGAGCATCTTTTTCCTCTGGTTGATGCTCATCAGCAGATAGCATTTGTGGGCTTTGTCCTTTTGATGTTTCTGCATGTGTTTTTCGTAACTCCAGATCTTGACCAGATGCAGTGGCTCCTCATTGCAGTAATCCCAGCACTTTGGGAGGGTGAGGTGGAATGATTGCTTGAACCTAGGAGGTAGAGGTTGCAGTATGCCAAGACTGTAACACAGTATTTCAGCCTGGGCAGCAGAGCAAAACCCCATGTTTAAAAAAAAAAAAAAAAAAAACTATGGACCTTGATGTTCAAGTCAATAATTCCAGCCTCTGGGGAGCTGGTGTCCTTAGGGATTGCCACGTCCTTTTGTATCAACTTTTTGGCTTCTGCTGGTTGGCCATTTCCAAAGACAAGTGTCTTTTAACAACGTCATCACCCTTCTCAATTCTGGAAAAGTTCTGGTAGTCTTTGAGCAGCATAAGGGGACAGGTCATCTTGGCTGAGCTGGATTGGTTTCTGAATGGCATATCCATGGGCGGCTTGGAGGAAGAGAGTTGGAGGCTACCAGCACCACTGATTAGAAGGAAGTCTGGTGCTTCCTCCTCTTGGCTTCTCAAAAACTGGAGCTTGGGTTTCAGTGGAACTTAGCATCCTCCACACAGCCCTTGGCATGGTGATTTCTGACCCACGAGAGTCCAGGTCAGCTGTTGCTTTCACAGTGTGGACTGGGTTACACGTGCGCCACCATATATCTTCCTACTTCCTCTACTAGCTTTTGGAAAGGGTTGTTGAAATCTGCAGCTATAAATACAGATTTTTCTATCAGTTATTTTGAGCACATTTCTAGATGTGACTATTGTACAAGGAGAGCCTATAATTGAGGCATATATTTAGCCTGATTTCTGTAGTTGCTACTTATGATTCAGTTGCTGTAGCCAAAGAAGAGGAGACTTTTAATTTACCATTCTTATAGGCAAGGAAGTCAATTTTTCATTTCTAAGTACTTACTGAGATCTTATTTTGTTGCTCTGCAGCCTAGCTGGTTTCTACCTCCTGTCCTAGTCTTAGATCTGTAGTTCTGTGTTTCCACAGGCAAATGAAACCCAAGAAAATCCATGATGGTAAAGATAAGCTGAAAATTTCCATTATGAACTAAAGCCTGATACTGAAGGACTGTGTGTAAAAATTGGACACATCTGGACAAAGCATTCACTTTGGAGTTAAATATACTGGAGAAGACACACAGGCAGCAAGACACATACTCAGAAAAGACCCAGGAATACCTTAAGCACTCACCCGGGGCTGATCTCAAATTTTCTGTCTTAAATATGGCTTTTAAAAAAATTGTTCTCTTGGTTGCAGCTGCTTTTCAGAGCTCCTATAAATTTATTCCAGCCAGTATGGAGTTGTTTCTTAACGTTTCCACAGGGAAAACAAGAGCTTAGATCTTCATAATTCTATACTTTGATCATGTCAGTCTCTTGGTCCTTTATTCCTTATTCTCTCTATCCTTTCAGGAGACAGGAATCAAAATGAGATGGCGACTCTTCACAAAGCAGAATTAAGGTGCTTTCCGCTGGGAGAGCTTTCATGCTGGCAAATCAAGAGACATGTTGCAAGCAAATTAGCCAGAAGTCAAGATTCCATGATAAATATTGAAGTACAGAGCTCTCAGTTCCCCAGGCACCATGATTCCCCCTGTCAAGTGGGAGCAGGAGAATCTGTTCAAGCTTCTGAGGATGACAGCTGTCTAGTGAATCTCATGGGAGATCATTCCAATATCATTGGAAATCAAGAATTTCCAACTGAGAAAGTTCAGAATTCATGGAGTAAAATTTATCAGAGAAGTTGTAAGCAGACCCAGATGAAAAACAAATTATGTATATTTGCTCCATGTGTTAACATTTTTGGTTGTATTTCACACCATCATGATAATATATTGCACAAAAGAGATAAAGCTCATAGCAATAGTGATTGTGGTAAAGACACCCTAAAGGTGTCACCTCTTACCCAGTATAGTATTCACACGGGACAGAAAACCTACCAGGGTAATGAATGTGAAGAAGCCTTCGATGATGGCTCCAGTCTTGAACTTCATAAGCAGGTGCACTTGGGAAAGAAGTCTCCAGCATGTAGTACCCATGAGAAGGACACCAGTTATAGCTCAGGTATTCCTGTTCAACAAAGTGTTCATACTGGAAAAAAACGCTACTGGTGTCATGAATGTGGTAAAGGTTTCAGTCAGAGCTCAAATCTGCAAACTCATCAGAGAGTCCACACAGGGGAGAAACCCTATACATGCCACGAATGTGGTAAGAGCTTTAATCAGAGCTCACATCTTTATGCTCATTTGCCTATTCACACAGGAGAGAAGCCTTATAGATGTGACAGTTGTGGGAAGGGCTTCAGTCGTAGCACAGATCTTAACATTCATTGCAGAGTTCACACTGGAGAGAAACCTTACAAATGTGAGGTGTGTGGGAAGGGCTTTACTCAGAGATCACATCTTCAAGCCCATGAAAGAATTCACACTGGAGAGAAACCATATAAATGTGGAGATTGTGGTAAACGCTTTAGTTGTAGCTCAAATCTTCATACCCATCAGAGAGTCCACACTGAAGAAAAACCATACAAATGTGATGAGTGTGGTAAGTGCTTTAGTTTGAGCTTTAATCTTCATAGTCATCAACGAGTCCACACAGGAGAAAAACCATATAAATGTGAAGAGTGTGGTAAGGGTTTTAGTTCAGCCTCAAGTTTCCAGAGCCATCAGAGGGTCCATACAGGAGAGAAACCATTTCGATGCAACGTGTGTGGTAAAGGCTTCAGTCAGAGTTCATATTTTCAAGCACATCAGAGAGTCCACACTGGAGAAAAACCATACAAATGTGAAGTGTGTGGAAAGCGCTTCAATTGGAGCTTGAATCTTCACAATCATCAGAGAGTCCACACAGGAGAGAAACCCTACAAATGTGAAGAGTGTGGTAAGGGTTTCAGTCAGGCCTCAAATCTTCAAGCCCATCAGAGCGTCCATACTGGGGAAAAACCTTTCAAGTGTGATGCATGTCAGAAGCGATTCAGTCAGGCCTCACACCTTCAAGCCCATCAGAGAGTCCACACCGGAGAGAAACCATATAAATGTGACACATGTGGTAAGGCCTTCAGCCAGAGGTCAAATCTTCAAGTCCATCAAATAATTCACACTGGAGAGAAACCATTTAAATGTGAGGAATGTGGGAAAGAGTTCAGTTGGAGTGCTGGGCTCAGTGCTCATCAGAGGGTCCACACAGGAGAGAAACCCTACACATGTCAGCAGTGTGGGAAGGGTTTCAGTCAGGCCTCACATTTTCACACACACCAGAGAGTCCACACTGGAGAGAGGCCTTACATATGTGATGTCTGTTGTAAGGGCTTCAGTCAGAGGTCACATCTTGTCTACCATCAGAGAGTCCACACTGGAGGGAATCTGTAGAAATTTGAGGTGTGGTTCACCCTCCAGTTAGAGTTCACGGCTTTGTCTCCATTGGGAAGTGCATGCTGATGACTATGGAAAGCTCCTTTAAAACTAGAAGGTTCAAAGAATCTTTACAGGAAAGAAGTCTCTCAGATGCTGTGTTTCAGACTTGGTTAGGACATGAATTCTTTACAAATGTCATATTTCACAGACAGAAAACTCTGTTCTATAAATATGATCCGTGTTTATATCTGCGTTGCCAAGTGTCTCAGTTCTCAAGATGTAACACAGCAGAAAAGTATTGTCAGAGTCTGCCCAGGAGAGAGGCCTTACTTTAAAAAAAGTATGATTGAGGCCAGGCACGATGGCTCATGCCTACAATCCCAGCACTTTGGGAGACCGAGGCAGGCGGATCACGAGGTCGAGACGGAGACCATCCTGGCCAACATGGTGAAATCCTGTCTCTACTAAAATACAAAAGTTAACTGTGTGTGGTGGCGCACGCCTGTAGTTCCAGCTACTCGGGATGCTGAAGAAGGAGAATTGCTTGAACCCAGGAGGCGGAGGTTGCAGTGAGCCAAGATTGCACCACTGCACTCCAGCCTGGCGCCTGGTGACAGAGCGAGACTCTGTCTCAAAAAAAAAAAAAAAAGTATGATTGACAGAAAAAATTCATGTCAACTAAAATGTAACCTCTATATAGGGAGGTGTTTTTCATCACTGTATCTCTACTATGTAGAATTGTGCTTGGCTTATAATAGGGCCTGGCAATTACTGAAAAAAGTGAAGAAAATACCTATAATTAGGACAAATATTTGAAAATTCTAGTCTGTTTTCTACCCGAAATTCATATTAATTTATATTCAAAGGGAATTTTGTAAGTAGCCTTAATAACGTTAGTTTCAGGAAATACTAAAGTACAGAAAAGTATATAATACTACCATCCATACTAATACGAATTTGGACAAAAGACCTGAATGGCTCCCATCCTTCAGCCTTAGTTGTTTGTACAGTGTAACATCAGTTGTGTAGTATAATTTTTAGTATCATTAGTTTATAGACTGAACAATACTTTTTAAACTCTAATGTGACACTGCAATTTACATGATTAGAATTTTTGGACACTAATTCATTAAGGTTGAGCTTTACTGTAACTCTGAAAGTGTTAAAAGTAGCTACTGATGACAAAAAGTTTCTTAATAAATTTGAATTGTTAATAATTTGTTTCATTATTTCTATTCAGGTTCAGATCAAGTTTCTTTTCTATGTGTCGTCTTTATTCCTTCTAGACTTCTAGAAGGAGCTTTGATAGATTTCAGGCACATTAATTTGTCACATTCCCTTAAAAGGGGGTAGCAGGGCAAGAAACCTGTTGAGTTTTTATTGAAATTTTATCTATTGTTTATTTTATTAAATAGAGCCTTGCTGTGTTGCTCAGGCCAGTCTCAAACCCCTGGCCACAAGCATTTCTCCAACCTTGGCTTCCCAAAGTGTTGGGATTACAGATGTGAACTCCTGTGCCCAGGCTTGAAATTGTATTCAATGTAATGATTTAGATGGATTACCATTTACACAGCATTCTATGCTTAATGCCTCTTAGTATGAGTGGACAATAAATACTCTTTGACCTGGCAGCCCTAGCACTAGAAATTTCACTTAGGAGATTGTGACAAAAGTGAGAAAGATTGTACACAAGGATATTTATCCTGAATTCAAAAAGGAAAATGTCAGTAAAATATTTGAGTAAGTCTTGATATATCCTTATAATATACAGCCATTAAGATGATCAGAGATCTGTAATAACTAGAGAAAACATTATTCATGAGAAAACTAGGTTGGAACCTTCCTGGGAAGATCCGATTAATAGAAGTCTGTCTAATGATGTGATTATATGCATAGAAATAATGGAAGGATATTAATATGCTAACAGTTGTTTACTCTGGCATCGAAGGTTGGGATATTTAACTTTTCAAAAAATTACAGTGACATCAATTTTATCAAAGCAGTAAAACTGAAATAAAGTTATGCGTAAATGAAAATCCCTTATAGCTAAATCTAACTTGTTTGCTTTACCTAATTATATGGCATGTAATCCTGTGTTACAGTTATGTAACTGACTTCAGCCACTTGACACTCAAAGGCTGAAAACATAAGAAAATGTAGTGAAAGGAAGGCAGTTTTGCTAACCAAATGCTAGCAGTTGGGAAGTGACCAGGCTCATGCCTTAAAATACCATTTCAACTTTTTGTGAGGGAGTTTAAGAAGGAAAACTTGGTGTGGGAAATAGGTTGGAGCGATGCAGCCAGATGGCAGGTCTTGCATGTCTTGTTCTGATGGTTATCTTGAGTAATCGCCCGTCTGGAGGTCCAGTTAGCATCATCTTGACTTTGGCCCAGGAGTGGTGGATGAACTGTTCATAACTGCTCCTAAGTGGGAGGATTGTGCAGTTGATTCGATTAGTTTCTGTGTCAGGTTTGCTTTAAAAGTAGATCCTGGAATTTCTAAGCAAGCAGATTAGACAAGTGAGCACTGTGCATGAAATACCTGACGGGAAAGAGAGAGATGAAGAGTTTTAAGGTATAAGGCCACGTTCTGGGGTTGGAAAGGAAGGGGAAAAAAGTTTTAAAATGCATTTCAAGGCTGGAATACTCAGTTACAATTCCCCACTTTCAAACTTCATCCTTTTTTAAAAAATTATTATTACACTTTAAGTTCTGGGATATATGTGCAGAATGTGCAGGTTTGTTACATGGGTATACATGTGCCATGGTGGTTTGCTGCACTCATTAACCTGTCATCTACATTAGGTATTTCTCCTAATGCCATCCCCCCCCAGCTCCCCACCTCCTAACAGACCCCAGTGTGTGACGTTCCCCTCCCTATGCCCATGTGTTCTCATTGTTCGGCTCCCACTTATGAGTGAAAACAGGCAGTGTTTGGTTTTCTGTTCCTGCGTTAGTTTACTGAGAATGATGGTTTCCAGCTTCATTCATGTCCTTGCAAAGTACATGTACTCATTCTTTTTTATGGCTGCATAGTATTCTGTGGTGTTTATGTGCCATATCTTCTTTATCCAGTCTATCATAGATGGGCTTTTGTGTTGGTTCCAAGTCTTTGCTATTGTGGATAGTGCTGCAATAAACGTACATGTGCATGTGTCTTTAATAGTAGAATGATTTATAATCCTCTGGGTATATTCCCAGTAATGGGATTGCTGGGTCAAATGGTATTTCTGCTTCTAGATTCTTGAGGAATCACCACAGTGTCTTCCACATGGTTGAACTAATTTACACTCCCACCAACAGTGTAAAAGCATTCCTAATTCTCCACATCCTCTCCAGCATCTGTTGTCTTCTGACTTTTGAACGATCACCATTCTAACTGCTGTGAGATGGTATCTCGTGGTTTTGATTTGCATTTATCTAATGACCAGTGATGATGAGCTTTTTTTCATGTTTGTTAGTCACATAAATGTCTTCTTTTGAGAAGTGTCTGTTCATATCCTTTGCCCCCTTTTTGATGGGGTTGTTTTTTTCTTGCAAATTTTTTTAAGTTCCTTGTAGATTCTGGATATTTGTTATCAGATGGATAGATCGCAAAAATTTTCTCCCATTCTGTAGGTTGCCTGTTCACTCTAATGATAGTTTCTTTTGCTGTGCAGAAGCTCTTTAGTTTAATTTAGATCCCATTTGTCAATTTTGGCTTTTGTTGCCATTGCTCTTGATGTTTTAGTCATGAAGTCTTTGCCCGTGCATATGTCCTGAATGGTATTACCTAGGTTTTCTTCTAGGGTTTTTATAGTTTTAGGTCTTATGTTTAAGTTTTTAATCCATCTTGAGTTAATTTTTGTATAAGGTATAAGGAAGGGGTCCAGTTTCTGTTTTCTGCATATGGCTAGTCAGTTTTCCCAGCATCATTTATTAAATAGGGAATCCTTTCCCCATTGCTTATTTTTTACCAGGTTTGTCAACAGATGGTTGTAGATATGCAGCATTATTTCTGAGACCTCTGTTCTGTTCCATTGGTCTATATATCTGTTTTGGTACCAACACCATGCTGTTTTGGTTACTGTAGCCTTTTAGTATAGTTAAGTCAGGTAGCATGATGCCTCCAGCTTTGTTCTTTTTGCTTAGAATTGTCTTGGCTATATGGGCTTTTTTTTGGTACCATGTGAAATTTAAAGCAGTTTTTTTTTTTTTTTTTTTAAAAAAAAAAAAAAAAAAAAAAAAAAAAAAAAAAAAAAAAAAGGAAAGGAAGAAAGAGGAAGAGGAAGAGGGAGAGAGAACAGGGGTGTTGCTTTATTGCCCGGGCTAGAATGCAGTCTAAAACTGGGTATGCCTGTAATTGTGTTTAATAATAGAGACATTAAAAAAAAAAATGAGGGAAGAAAATAATTAAAAGCAGCCAACCAGTATTTCATTTAAACCTGTAAATACGTGTGATGTAGTACTGATAAGAGTGTATATTTTGTGTATTTAAAGTGGAGAGTTCTATGAATGTTAATTAAGTCTACTTGTTCCAAATCTGAGTTCAAGTCCTGGATATCGATGTTAACATTCTGTCTCATTGATCTATTTAATTTTGATGTTGAAGTCTCCCGCTATTATTGTGTGGGGGTCCAAGTCTCTTTGTAAGTCTTATATATCTGGGTATTTCTGTATTGGGTGCATATATGTTTAGGATCTTTAGCTCTTCTTGTTACATTGATCCTTTTATCTTTATGTAATATCCTTCTTTGCTTCTTTTGATCTTTGTTGCTTTGAAATCTATTTTATCAGCAAAAATTGCAACTCCTGCTTTCTATTTATTTATTTTAGCTCTCCATTTGGTTGGTAAATTTTTCACCATCCCTTTGAGTCTTTATGTATCCTTGCATGTGAGATGGATCTGGATGTAGCATACTAATGGGTCTTGGCTTTTTTTGCCTGTCTGTGTCTTTGGATTGGGGGATTTAGTCGATTTAAATTAATAACAATATATGTGTGTTTGATACTGTCATTTAATGTTAGCTGGCTGTTTTGCCCATTAGTTGATGTCTTTATTTTTTGGTATTTTTTAGAAAGGCTGATACTGGTTGTTCCTTTCTATTTGTAGTGGTTCTTTCAGAAGCTCTTGTAAAGCAGGCCTGGTGGTGATGAAATCTCTGAGTGCTTGCTTGTTCACAAAAGATTTTATTTTTCCTTCGCTTATGAAGCTTAGTTTGGCTGGATGTAAAATTTTACATCCATAAAGCAGTTTTTTCTAATTCTGTGAAGAAAGTCAATGGTACCTTGATGGGAATAGCATTGAATCTATAAATTACTTTGGGCAGTATGGCCATTTTCATGATACTGATTCTTCCTAACCATGAGCATCGAATGTTTTTCCATTTGTTTGTGTTTTCTTTTATTTCCTTGAGCAGTGGTTTGTAGTTCTACTTGAAGAGGTCC